CCGCGCGCTGGAAGCCGGGCCTGGTGCGCCGCGTGGTGCAGGGACGCGCCGTCGCGGGCCCAGCGAGGAGGGGCGCGGCGCCAGGAGTCTGCTTTCTCCCCAGGTGTCTGGCCCAGGCCGCGCTGGCCGGGCGTCCTCCAGAAGGTGACCCCAGGGCTGGCTCGGCCGAGCCGCAGGATGCTTGGAAGCGGCCCCGACCCTGCGGTCAGCGAGCCCGGGGACAGCAGCGGTAACACTGGGTTCCCCGGCCCACCCACGGGGGCGTGGGACGGGAAGGGCCAGGCCTCTCCAGACGCCAGGAGGCCTGGGTGCCCCTCGGTTGGATGTGAGCCGTGGTTGGATGTGGGGCTTGGGCCACCGGAGGGAGGAGGGGTGCCTGAGTCAGCCCTCCTGGGCCATTTGTCCCAGCCCCCAGCAACTCCTTCTAGTCCCCCGACAGGTGTCCCAACCTGGCTCCACCCACTCCTGAGCTGTCACCGGCTGCAGGTCAATCGTCCCTGGAGAGTGGCCCTATGGTGGTTAACACTGGGCTTCGTTCCCTAAGGAGTGTCACCAGACCACTAGGCACAGAGCCCTGAGCTCGCCGCCTGGGCCCAAGGGACCTGTGAGCACCAGACTTGGTGGCTGAGAGCTATCAGGAAGGCCTCAGAAGCCAGCTGGGCCCCTCTCCTTTTCTCCTCTGCTTTCCAATTAAGGGGACCACGGGGTGGGTTTGATCAGACTTACCCAGGCACAAAGTCGTGATCAGAACCTGGCTCCAGCCCTCAGTCTTCTGAAAAGGCCCCCTGGTTCCCAGATCTTTCCTGGGGCTTGGGGCATCTTCAGCTGATGGGCTTCTCTCCCCCAGCGGTGTCACCTCCACTCACAGGAGACACTTGGGGACAGGGGTGGGCAGGCACCACTCTCTGCTGTCCATGAGGCATGGGGGGGGGGAGACCACAGCATCCTGTCCTCCTCCCTGCCGTAGACTTCAGTGACGAGATTCTCAACGAGCCACTCAAGCACTCTGACTTCTTCAATATCAAGGAACTGTTTTCCGTGAAAAGCCTCTTTGAAGCCCGAGTGCACCTGGGACATAAAGCTGGCTGTCGGCACAGGTGGGTGATGCCCCTGGCCAAGCGTGTCCCAGTGGTGGTTCCCAGGAGGGCTTGGGACTCTCCTCCCTTGGGTCTAGGACATTTTTGTCCTGGCCTATGTCAGTTTTGTTCAAGTGAACACAGCACCTGCCTCCTTCAGGTGGAAACACCCAGCCCCAAAGAGGAGCAGTCATTTATTCTGCAGATGTGGTGAGCTGGGGATGAAGGGCCTGTGGATTTGGAGGAAGAGAGTGCAGAGGACAGGGCCCAGGATGGGTGAGGGGCTGGTGAGGCTGGCTTGTACTGGACCGTGCAGGGCCTCCAGGCTGTGGGGAGGAGTAGTAACCGGTCAGGTGGCTTTTTGGGTGGTTTTGACCGTTGCCTGGAGAGTAGACTGGAGGAGATTAGGGGCAGGACCAGGGAGGGAGGTGACTAGATATCCAGGGGGAAGGTCATTGGGCTCAACTCCTAGTAGCAGAAGATGTGGAGGTTGGACCGAAGTTGTTGGGGGCAGAGCCAGTGGGTCTTGCGTTGGGATTAGAGGTGGGGGTGAGGCTGGAGGGGTCAGCAATGTCGCCTAGACCTCTGGGCAAAGCGCAGTGCAGGTGGTGGCTTACTGAGATGATGGAAACCAAGGGGAGACCTGGGGACACCATGAGCTTGGGTCCCACAAGGTTTCAACTCTTGGCCACCCAGTGAAGAGGTCAGATGAATACTGGGAGGGACCAGCCTGGACCTGGGGGAGCCATCCACATGGAGAGGGGGACATTTCCAGAGCATCTGGAGAGAGATCCCAGGGTGGGGCCCAGGCATCTCAGCGTTTGGAGTCAGGGAAGAGGAGGGGAGGGAGAGGGGAGGACGCCATCTTCTTCTGGTGCTGCTGGGCAGTGGGTAAGGGGCAGGGAATGGTTGTGAACTCGGCAAGATGGGGGTCATTGGTGCCTCAATGAGCAGAGTCAGTTCAGAGAAAATAACTAAATCCAGTGAAGTGGACAGGAGGTGAGGACCTGAGAACCCCTAGCGTAGGCAACTCATTGGCCATGTGCTGAGAGGCAGGGCAATCTCTACTAATCTACTGTCCCCTGCCCAGGCCAGCAGTGGGTCTGTGCCCTCAGGGCTCCCCTCCCAGGCTTGGTCAGCTCCTGTCCTAGTCCCTCCATGCTCTGAGCATGCGGGCACCTGCCCACCATCACACACCCGCACCCACACCCCTGCTGGGCCTTTGGCCCTGCTGCAGAGGAGCCTTGTTCGTAAAGCCTGGAAGAGAAGAGAGACAGAAGTGGGGTGCTAAATGAGCAGCCATGGGCAGAGTGCCCTGCTGGCACCGTGTCCAAATGTGCAGATGTTCACATGGAGCTGTTCCGTAGGATCCCCACGGGTAGACGTGGTGGGTCACAGGTGAACCACGTGCCCGAGGCTGCCCTGCTACGCAGTCCCATGCCCCTAGGCCATCACTCATGAACAGCGTCCTCACTGCCATCTGTCCTCATGGGGAGTGGTTGCAAATTGTGCCTCCCAACCCATAGCGCCCCCACAGAGTAGCCGAGTCTTGCTGGCGGGTGTTGGCCCCAAGCCCTGGTTGTACCTGCCTGGGGGTCTCCATAGGTTTATGGAGCCGTACATCTTTGGGAGCCGCCTGGACCAGGACATCATTGACCTGGAGCAGACAGCCTCGCACCTCCAGCTGGCCTTGAACTTCACCGCCCACGTGGCCTACCGCAAGGGCATCATCTTGTTCGTGAGCCGCAACCGGCAGTTCTCGCACCTGATTGAGAACATGGCCCGGGACTGCGGCGAGTACGCCCACACCCGCTACTTCAAGGGCGGCCTGCTGACCAACGCCCCGCTCCTCTTTGGCCCCACGGTCCGCCTGCCGGACGTCATCATCTTCTTGCACACGCTCAACAATGTTTTTGAGCCCCACGTGGCCGTGAGGGACGCGGCCAAGATGAACATCCCCACCGTGGGCGTTGTGGACACCAACTGCAACCCCTGCCTCATCACGTACCCCATCCCCGGCAACGACGACTCGCCCCCGGCCGTCCACCTCTTCTGTAGGCTCTTCCAGACAACTGTCATCCGGGCCAAGGAGAAGCGGAGGCAGGTTGAGGCCCTGTACCGACTACATGGCCAGAAGGGGACCCAGGGCCAGGAGTCAGCCAACCCTTCCTCCAGGGTAGGCATGAGCCTTTCCCTGTGACATAAAGCTGTCTTCCCAAGTCACACAACAGCCACGCCTGTTTGAGTTGGGAATCGCTGTCCCCAGCTCTAGGTCCCAACAACAGCATTCATGGGCCTTCTAGGCACTTGGTCCTTATTACCAGTGACAGTACATGGCCACCCAAGGTTTCCCCTTCAACCCAGGGCCAAGCAGACCAAGACTGTCTTCTGCATTTTTTCTGTGGGGAACAGAACACAGAGGGCAAAGGGCTTGTCCAGAACAACCCATTCAGCTACAGCAAGGCCTGGAAGCCTGGTGTGTCGATTGCTGCTGCGGCCAACCCACTGGGAAGCTGGGGTCTGAGAAGTCTTCGTTTCTACCTTAATGCTAGACCTTTCTTAGGAAGGATCATGTACCAACTCAATTTTACTTAACCAAAATATCTTCCAGTAGGACTGCTTTCCAGGCTGCCTGGTTTCAGGGGCAATTTTGTTACGCGTTGTGGAACAAGCAGTTCAGGGCTCCCAGCCAGGTTGGGACAGGCCAGGCGAAACGGCATGAGTCCGGCAGAAATAAAACCTTGATTTGGGCAAATTGCGACTTAGAGCTTTGGGTTCCAAGGTGTATGGGCTTGTGTCATTGATGCGGCATTTCCCAGACACCCCCGGGATACTGGGGAGCACTCGAAGTGTCCCTGGGGCCGGCCGATTGCTCACTTGGGAGAGCGTGGTGCTGACGACACCAAGTCAAGGGTTAAAATCCCCTTACTGGTCATCTTAAAAAAACAGTGTCTCTGTCCTCGGGTACAGGGGGACAGGCAGTGTGTATGACATGTTTTGATGGGGTCAGCAGAGGTGGCAGCCAGTTGGGAGCACCATTGTCAGGGCTGGGGCTCACAGGGAGCCCAGACGGGGGCAGCATTGTAGCCTGCATCCCGGAGTGGCAGGAGAGACTGAAGGGCACTTGCTGACGGGTCTCAACATTCCCTCGTCTGCAAGGACACAGCTACACTCCCGGGACATGCTGCAGGTTCTCAGGATTTGCGTTCCCAGCTCATGCATCTAACTACCCTGAGGAGCCTGTCTGGGGAGCATGCAGACAGTAGGAGTGGGTATGGTCTCTGGACACGGTGGCCTTCTTGTGGCTCAAGGCCTGTCGCACCTGTGCTGCCCCTGTCCTGCCTGCAGGAACAGCACACGGAAGGTGAGAGGCTGTAGTCCCAGTGTCTGCACAGCCTGTCCTTCCAGGGCTGGGCTGGGTGAGGTGGGGGGGTGTGTTGGAGGTCCTCATGGTTTCTGGAGCTCCGTAGAATGTACAGGGCATCGAGCTCCAGTGTGAGCTCACTGACTGACCAGCATTGCGTAAATCCCCGAACCTGAACCTGAAGGTGCAAATTTAAGGCAGGTGAAGGGAGAGGCTGCTCCAGGGCTTTCCCCACAGAATACTTCTCTTGTTGGGTGCAGAGGAGATCTCCCTGAGCTCAGCCTCCTGGCCCAGGGCACTTGGGACAGGAGCTGGGGGGAACCAAGACCCTTGAAACCTGAGAACAACAGAGAACCCGTGAAGAGCTTGCTGATGCGTGCCCACCACGGCAGCTCCTGGGCCTCAGACTGGGCCGCTCTCGGGGACATTACAAGCCATCTCTTAAGCAGTCCAGGCGAGGACCTTCCCTACCAAGCCACTTAGGCAGCCACGGGGTTGATTGCACCTGGGCGGGATGTCAGGTGTCATGCAGGGGAGGGGATGGTCAGAAATGGCACCAGGGAGGTGGGGATGGCTTGTTTTCTGGTCTTTGGTTAAGGGGCCCGGTGGAGGGGAGCAGCCCGGGGAGGGCTAAGACAAACCAAGGGATCCCTGCAAGGACAGGCTGGCAAGTTGCCAGCAGACCCAGCATGCTCCCCTGAGCCACCACACTCCCTGCCAACCCCCACGGGAACCACATCCATGACTTGCCTGGCTCCTGCCATCTGCCATCCCTGAGGGTCCCCATGTCACCAACACTGGATGCAGGCTGGTGAGGAACTGCTGAGGGATGACTGTGGAATTTTTTCTGGGTGCTAGGAACAGGGCAGGGCAGGGGTGGCCCCAACCAAGGAGGTGACTAGGCAAGTGGACACCAAAGAGCTGGGCCTCTTCAGGAGAGGGATAAGGAAAGGAGCAGGCTGGTGGGGACAGAGACGAGGTGGGACCACAGCAGGGAGAACAGCCAGGGAGGGGCCCGCATGGGGCCACAGGGGACTCTGGGTAAAAGAAGGAGTAGAGGTCTGAGGGGACAGTGGCCTCAAGGATGCCATCCTCGACCCTGGCAGGAGGGACCCCCAAGTTTGCCACCCTGGAGATGAACCCCAAGAGAGCCCAGAAGCGGCTAAAGGAGACGGTGAGTGTGGCCAGGCCCGGCAGGGGCAGGGCGCTGACCTGGGAGTCAGGAGAGGAGGCCCCAACCCTCCCTCCTGTTGCCACAGTGTCTGAAGTGCCCTGTTAGACGGGGCTTCTCTGCACCCCAGCGGGGCCATGCCCTGACCAGGGGGTGTGGTGGGGGGACTGGCTGCAGCCACCAGAGCAAGGGCTTGGCAGAGCCAGGCTTGGGGCACATGTGGGGGCAGGGGACACATAACCTTGGCGATTTGCCACATGCCAGCCTGGGAGGTGACTGGAGTGAGTTTGGGATCCTTGGAGGCCAGAGGGGCACTAGGGGAGGTGGCTGAAGGTCCCCAGGCTACACCACATGGGAGGCCTGGGGTGGGATGAGGTTTGTAGCAAAGAAGCCTTCAGGGGAGGGGCCCAGGCCTTGCTTATCTCACTTGACCCGATGCCACAGGGTGTCATCCAGGGCACTGTTCCCTACCTGGGGACATTCCTCACTGACCTCGTGATGCTGGACACTGCCATGAAGGACTATGTGTATGTGAGTGAGACCGGGCCCTGGGGGGCAGGACAAGGGGGAGGCAGGACCCAGAGCTGGAGGCTGCACTGGTACCCATTGCAGTGTGACAACATGGCCCTAACTCACAACTCACAGCCGCAGATGTTACTGTCACACAGGCTGTGTGGACACGGATCCAGTCATGGTCGGTGGGGGCCTCTGCCCCGGGTGTCTCAGGAGGCTGGGGCTGGGGGCTCCACTGAGGCTCTGCTGGGCAGGACCCGCCTCTGAGCTCAGTCGGCTGTTACTGGCTCCTGCGGTTTAGGCCAAGGGTCTCAGTTCTTTTCTGTCCGTTGCCAGGACTCTGTTGGTTCCTTGCCACTGGGCCTTCTCACAGGGCAGCTCATAATATCTCACCTTTCTTCCCTACAGGGAGTAACGAGAGAGAGAGAGAGAGAGCAGGCAGGAGAGACAGAGCCAGACAGTAGGCACAGACTTCTCATAACTCAGTCTCGGAAGCGACGACTCATCAGTTTTGCCGGATTCTTGTCCTTAGAGGCCAGACACTGAGTCCAGGCCACTTTTGAGGGGAGGGGATTACACAGCCACTTGGTACCAGGAGGTGGAGATCGCTGCCCCCACACAGGAAGGGAGGAGGCACTTGGGCCCCCTCTAAATATCACAAGAAGCCACCGCAAGGTTTGGGCCAGAGGGGACGATTTCTGAGTTTGGGTTCATTTCAGCTTCCCGTGCTGCAGACTAGGAAATGAGACCAAGAGGGGAAGTGACTCCCCGGATCACACGGTGGAACCAGGCCGTTCCTTGTGCCACCCGCTGTGGCTCTCCCATCGCTGAGTGTGTGCATTAGCTACGTGTGGCCCCAGCCCCTGGGGTCACAGGTGATACAGGTACTTATAGGTCCCTACACCTGATGACATCCCTGAGAAGCAGGTGCTGGAACAGTCCCCAGAGCACATGTGGAGCATGCGATGGCCTCAGGGGCACAGTGACCCATCCAGGGTCACACAGCTGGGAAGGAGGAGCCAGGTCTGAGCCCAGCTCTGTCTCCTCAAAGCTGGGGCGCTGGCCGCAGCCAGGCCTGGCCAGGGGTGAGGGCGGTTGTGCTGCTGTAACTGTGTGCGGTCAGCACGTGGCGGGGGAGGCGTGCAGTCAGCTCCAGCAGAACTCAGAACCTGGTTGCCAGGCACCCACAGTCCAGACACAGCCCCCTACCCAGCTCACTTGGCCGGAGTCACTGGAGAGAGACACATGCTTTCCTGTTGTGTCCCGATGTGCCGAGGCTCAGGCCTCAGGAAACCCCAGAGCGGGAGCCTGTGCCAACGCCGCAGGCGCTGGGTCAGCCCTCACCTCCCACGCTGGTGGCCTTTCGCCCGGAGGAACCCAAAGGTAACAGGGGGCCGGCCCATGGCTCACTCGGGAGTGTGTGGTGCTGATAACACCAAGTCAAGGGTTAAGATCCCCTTACCAGTCGTCTTTTAAAAAAAAAGGTAACACGGGCAGCCAGGCCAGGGCAGCCCAGGCCAGGCCCCCACCACCGGCCTCTAGCTGGTGACAGGGGTGACCCACTCCACAGTCCCGATCCCAGGGGTCAGGGCCTCCTCCATTCCTCCACCACCACGTCCGCCCCAGCCTGGCCAGGTGCAAGGTCACTTCTCACACACCTGTAGGAACATCCAGGAACACACCGTGTGCTGTCCCTGTCCTCACTTGCCATTCTGGTGACAGGGACTCTGCATTTTGCTACTGATTATGTGTGAGCTGCTCTTCCTTTTCCCACCCAGAGTGAAAATGAGTCAGCCCAGGCCCTGGATGACACCTGCAGGGTGGGGACTGTCACGGCAGGAACCCTGGAGAAGGTGGTGAATCAGCTGGTGCCTGCCCTGCAGAGCGGGGACCCCTTCTTCGTCCCCGCCTTCCTCTGCACCTAAAGGAGGTTCGCCACCACCCGGCAGGTGCTGGACATGCTGTTCAAGAGGTGAACGTCCCCA